TAGGTTCTCTTGTCACTGAATTACTATTTTATAGATAAGGTTACTGACTATTTAAATGCTTATGTTTAGATATGTATGATCTGTTTTAGATCTTAAAATTTTAAAGCAGGAGAGAAGTTTAATACAATTTTTCTTATAGTGTAATGTATTGTGCTGTGTTGTTTCTATTATGTAATTTACTATGGCCTCTGTGCTAAAGAAATAATTTGAATGTGTTCATTTTAGTCATGCACAAAAAATAAGAGTGGTTGTATGACCACTGTTTGTAAAGCTTCTCGGAAGATAGTGCTGTCAATGAGGTATTAATTAGAGTCAGCAGAGGGTCTCTTACTTTCCCAAAGCAAGCCTTCAGCAATCACAAAGGACAAAGATCTACACTATAGGCGAAAGACTTCACTCACCAAATAATCTTACCAATGTCTGCAGAGGGGAGCAAATGGAATCAGTCCACAGAACAGTGACAAGACAGTGCATTTGGACTCTCTACTTTCAGAACTATCTCTTAGTTCAGAGTCCAAGTCATCCCACACTAATGAGATTATCTGATAAAAAAAATTCATCAGGCTCATAATTACCTTGCTGATGGTCCTCTGCAGGCCATACATACTTTGATCTTACATTTACCAGTTCATGTACAGCTTTAAATGGTTCTATTGAGCCATTAGAGATCTACCTATATGATATGCTCATTTGCAGCTGCTTCTTAATGTTGTTGTTTAGTCGTTTAGTCGTGTCCGACTCTTTGTCCCCATGGACCAGAGCACGCCAGGCCCTCCTGTCTCACACTGCCTCCCGGCGTTGGGGCAAATTCATGTTGGTAGCTTCGATGACACTGTCCAACCATCTCATCCTCTGTCGTCCCCTTCTCCTATTGCCCTCACACTTTCCTAACATCAGGGTCTTTTCCAGGGAGTCTTCTCATGAGATGGACAAAGTACTGGAGCCTCAGCTTCAGGATCTGTCCTTCCAGGGAGCACTCAGACTTGATTTCCTTTAGAATGGATAGGTTTGTTCTCCTTGCAGTCCAGGGGACTCTCAAGAGTCTCCTCCAGCACCACAATTCAAAAGCATAATTCTTCGGTGGTCAGCTTTCTTTAGCTCTCACTTCCGTACATCACTACAGGAAAAACCATAGCTTTGACTATTCGGACTTTTGTTGTCAAAGTGATGTCTCTGCTTTTTAAGATGCTGTCGAGGTTTGTCATCACTTTCCTCCCAGTAAGCAGTTGTCTTTTAATTTGGGGGCTGCTGTCACCATCTGCAGTGATCATGGAGCCCAAGAAATTAAATTCAGTCACTGCCTCCATAGCTTCCCCTTCTATTTGCCAGGAGATGATGGGACCAGTGGCCATGATCTTAGGGTTTTTTTATGTTGAACGTCAGACCATTTTTTGCACTCTCCTCTTTCACTCTCATTACAAGGTTCCTTAATTCCTCCTCAGTTTCTGCCATCAGAGTAGTATCATCTGCTTCTGAATAGACATACCTAAATTGATTATACTGTTATTTGTCTGAAATGGGCAAGGTTTCACTCCATTTTCATTTTAGGCATTTAACTTTCCAGTTCATCTAGCTCCTCCGTAAACCAAGAATTTGGATTCATTTCCATAGGTCTCCCTGTTAGGGGATGATGTGATCTATAGTAGTCTCTCGTTCCAATGGCTTTCTAGGCCATCTATCACCTCAACGTCCAGGACTCCAGGACTTCCGGCTTGACGCTGTAACAAGACAGCAGGAGGAGGACGGAGCTCCATCTCTTGGGCTGAATTCCAACCTGTTTGGGACCCCCCAGGGGGTTAACCCCCACCCCAAGAGGTGGTGAAATGGGGGAGAAGCCTGTTGATCACGGGGGACAGACGGCGGTCACCCATGTTTAATCCAGGAAACTCCCCAATCAACCAGCAGGCAGAAACAAGCAGCTGAATAAGCCTGCCTGCAAGTTGTTGGCAGTCAGCCAAAGAAGAAGCAATAAACCAGCCAAATTAAACATCTTCGTTAACATTGTGTGAGATAGAAAAGCTTAATTATACTACTCTATAACTATTCCTGGATGGAATAATCCTTTTAACAGGTAAAAAAAAGGGTCTCTTAGCCCCAACTCTAAATTAAGCAGCGGAGGATCTGGAGAAGGGGAAAGAGACACAAAGAGAAGCAAAGAAAATAAATTGGACAATTAAACAATTATACTGCAAGGAAAGAAGTTCTGTATTACTTTGGTGTTAAACTTAAAAAATCTTCCTCTTAAATTTGTTTTTGGAAACAACCCTCAGAGTAATGTCTATTTACAGTGTTGGCAAATAGCCTAGAAACATGACCTTGAAAAAACCTGGAAACCTGATTTGAAACTCTGTTTTGTCTTTCCCTTTTCTTCTTCTGAGAACTGACCAAAACATAGACAATTAACTCTGGAAAGTCTAATACAAACATTGAGTGAATGGGACTGCCAAATTACATCAGAGACTGGATTCAATTCACCCTAAAGGTGATCAACCTACTGAGGCAATTATTGATGGAACTGGACTGACTGCTCTAAGCTACTAGACATTTTTCATTTGAAATACAAGTACCTGACATCTGAGCACATAATGTCACAACAAGGTAAATTTTTGGAGGAAACAAAATCTACCCTGCAAGTAATCTTAGAAATAGTGATATCCCAGAACCAAGACATGCAGTTGTTCACGGAACTAAAAAAAGACTGCATTCAACAAGAGACAGAAAATATCAAACAAAGAAATGTGAAGGCTCAGGACAATGTATGCCAAAGGAAAGAAGGACTGGAGGAAATTAGAGGGGGAAATTCTGGAGAGCCGAGGAGAATCTTAGCTGTGTTAAGGGAATATTGCGGGGGGGGGGGACCAGCAGCATTAATTAAAAATTGCCCGAAAGACCTATTGGAGATAGATCAAATGCATAAAGATCTATTGGAGATTGATCAAGTATACAAAATGCTTTCAGATTACACAAGGGACAGCAGAATATTTAGGGAGATAGAAACAAGAATTGGGAACATTCAAATAAGAGAAGGAATCATTTAGAAAAGATGAAAAAAGGGAAAATATTAAGGTGACCTCATGGTTGAAAGAATGTATATACAGTGGTGCCCCACTTAACACTTACCCCGCTTGATGATAAATCCTCTTCACGATGAAGTTTTTGCGATCGCAAAACAATGTTTTAATGGGCAAAAACAGCTTTACGAGGATCAGTTCCCTGCTTCGGGAACCAATTCCTCGCATTACGACGATCAAAACAGCTGATCGACGGGTTTTCAAAATGGCCACCAGCTGCTCAAAATGGCTCCCTGCTGTGTTCAGGAAGGAATTTTTCGCTCCACAGGCATGGAAAATGGCCGCCCTATGGAGGATCTTCACTGGACGCTGAGGTATTTAGCCCATTGGAACACTTTGAACCGGTTTTCGATGCATTTCAATGGGCTTTTTTATTTCGCTTGACGAGGATTTCGCTCTTCTGCGATTTAGCTGGAACGGATTATCCTCATCAAGCGAGGCACCACTGTATTTAACTTCTGGAATTGTAAAGTGGCATATCTTATATATTAAAAAAGGGAATTAAACTGAAATAAGGGATAATTAATCAGGGTAAAGACATAACGTGGGTTTTAAGGTACGTTGATGTGAAGATGGGGCAAAACAAATAGTATTTATTGAATATATATTAGATATGATGTTGATATCGACATGATAGAAAATGTGGAGATAGAAATAGCTAAACAATTATATAAAGAAAATTTGTATAAAAGTAGTCAATATTGTATACTAAAACACACACATGAACAATTTAAATGTTTAAAAAATGTCTGGATTTTGAAGAGACAACTGAGAAGACACCAAGAAGCAAAGAGCAAATGATTGTAAGCAACCCATGTAACACAATGTTTAACAAGCACAATTAAATATAGATAGATTGAAAAATTAATAATATGTTTAAAAAACAATATCCATGACTCCAGAATCTGCTTGGGTATCAGCAAAACCAATTAAATCCATTAGTCTGTAGGGACAGAACATTCTGACAGTTTCCTCACCCTTGCACGCTTGGGGGCTATGTTTTATTTTGCCTTTGATCAGAAATGATAAGACATTGAAACAAGGTGAATCCTCACTCCAACACTGAGATCACCAACAAGCTGCTCAGTATAGAAATGTAGATCCAGTATATGTCCCTTTTCATGTGTATGGCCCACTGGAACCTGGGACAGGACCATGGACTCTATTGTGCCATGAAGTCCTGGGATATGGAAGAATATTGAAGTCCCCAAGGAAGCCAGTTAATTGAAGGGGATCTATTCATTTTACCAGGCATTTTGAAAGTTACAAGTGTATTGATTCTTTGGTCAAGCCAGTTATCTGAATCAACTGTCATCATTAGGTTCTGCTACAATTCATAAGCTGGCTAGACTGCCATTTATCACCTTTTGTATCCTGCCATTCATTCAAATAGCTGATGGTAACATAACTGGCATTTTTCATTGTCTTCTGCACAAAAGTCCTGCATGGCTGAGAGACAGAGACTGTCTTGGACTACTTACTGAACACCAGAATTCTGTGGACACTCAGTCTAAATACATTTGATGCTTCTTTTCAAGTGAAGTTGTTGGTGACTGGCCATTTGAGTCTCAGTGATGTTTATGTACAAGTTTTGAGAATTGTGTGTGTGTGTGTGTGTGTGTGTGTGTGTGTGCAACACCATTGTAGTCTTTGCCATACTATATGGACTAGCTAACTTACAAAGGTGAAGCAGGTACTGCCAGACCAAAACAATAACAGTAGTTCTAAATACTTTCCAAATTGCTGTGTAAAATAATGTTTGTGAAGCTACCTTTAAATAAAGAGGACATTCAGCCTAATGTAATTAGATGTTCTTAATTAGCAGTATGATAATTTCTTCTTAAAGAAGCTATTGTTTAACATTGGTAGCATGATATGATACCTCTTGTCATGATTTTTGTTTTACTAATGTGCTTTTCTTCTATACAGACTAGCAATGAACTGGTGCAGCCGGTAAGTAGACTTTCTATATTTACCCTGGCAAAGCTACTGATAGATAGGTGCTGTCTCTAAATATATGCTATTCCTGAAAATAGTTCAATATGTGGCTAATTGCTTCATTTCTGCACTAAAATTGTCATAGTAAAATATTGAATTATGTGTTTTTCATCAAGACCACCTTTATCTTTTTCATCTTGTTTTTTTCTTTACTTTTCTGTCTGCCTAAAGCCTGATTCTTCAAAAAGTCTTTCACTGTGTAACCTGATCATGGAGGAAAACCCAGAAAGTGGGTCAGCAGAAGATGTTAACAAACCCCAAACTGATATAGGTTCACTCAATGTGAGCCTAGATGGTAGTGCAGCCAATGAGAGCGAGGAAAGAGCTACAGGTGTACCCTTGCCTTTCCCTCAGGCAGAGCAAACCTCAGCAGAATCATCTGTTGCACTGGATACTTCTACTTGGCCTGATATAGGGAAACAAGAGGATGGTGCAACCTGGACAACCTCTATTTGTGAAAATCAAAGCACTTTCCCGGAAACATACCTGGACTCTAGCCACATGATGGACACTGGCACAGATCTGGTGGAGAATAACCAGCCATTAGCAGGTGAAACTTTGTCTGAAAGCTCTCGAGGAAAAACTGATAGCTTTTGGGATGATGACCCATTTAGTGTGGAAAAGACAGAAGAGGAGGAAAAGGAAACCGAAGACTCTTTCTGGGCAAATGTGGAGCCATGTGAAAAGGTAGAAACCAGAGATGTTAACCACAAGGAACTAGACTACACAGATGAATCTGGAGAGAGATGTTGTGACAATAAAGGCTACAGTGAAGTAGATCATCTTGAGGACTTAGCACAAACAGATTATGAAACCGTAAAAAGCACTGATGTAGAAACTATAAAGGATTCAGAATATAATAATAGACAGCCAGAGGAATCTGGTTCAGAATTTAGTGAGGCTACTATGATTCAGAAAACAGGTGGCAGATATACTGAGGATATAGTAAACACAGGGTTGGGGTATGAAGCAAGCATACGTACGACTGTAGAATATGGTGAGTTTGAAATGGAGAGTAGTTTAGATTCTTGGACTCAGGATCATGGAACAGTGCTCATGGATGACTTGCCCATTGCTGCAAATACAACTATTAAAGGGCCACATGAAAATGAAATGGCAAATGTTACAGAATTGGCTGACCTTGTTGTCAGAGGCAGATCGACTGGAGAAGTTGAAAATTCTGTGTATGGTGAGGAGTTCTGTGGTGCAGAAGAGATTGAAGATCATAGCCACAACATCCCTCAAAATAATAATGTTGCTGGTGAATCTCAATCTACATTTATCCCCCTTGAAAAGGATGTGATTCTGCAGCCTGAGCCTGCTAATGCAAATCTCGATAATTCTTGGCTAGGTAATGTGGAAGAGAAATTTGTAGACAGCGAAGCATTTTGTATGCCCCAGGAACTTAACGATAATGATAGTGTTTCTGAAGCATTGGAAACAGATCCCTGGCAAGCCAATTGGGATCCAACAGTTAATACTGATTCCTGGGAGTTTTCTAGCCAGGCAAATGGATTTGATAACTGGCCCTTTCCTCCCACACAAGAATTTGTGGATGGAAACATGGAGAATCCCTGGTCAGGTTTTAATGATAAATGGTCTACAGAAGATTTGGGAGGTCTTGATAAATCCTGGGGAGCTGTAGGTGTCCCACCAAACCACCAGAATCAGGAAGCACCTTTAAGGCAAGGATCATCTGGGGAGCAGGCAAATGTTAGCAGCAGTGGACCCAACAAGGAGATAGGCAGGCCGTTGTTTCTGTTCCAAATGGGAAATTCCAGAAACGCTAGCACGGAGAGCTCCACTAGCCCCAAAGAAAATGAGACCAACAGCTCAGATTTATCTGAAGATGAAATTGCTAACCGGAGATATGGATTGTTGTACCAGGAAATAGAGGCTGATAAAGAAGAGGTACCTACTCCAATGTGTAGCATAGTCTAGAAACAAGAGTGCCTTAGGTCATATATATGTATATCTAACCTTGTGTTTTCTATGTTCTCCTCCCTGTCCCTGTTTGCTAACTTTAGAGATTATACAAACATGCCAGATTTGGTATAGTTCAACCATATACAAGATTGATTACAAAGAAATGGCTGTTGAACATACCATCTGAATTTTACTATAGCACATTACCTTTGAATTTTCTGTTTTCTAACATGATATTTGTGCCTCAGTTTTTTCAAATTCTTAATTTGTATTGTTATTTTTCTCTCTCTCTTTTTTGGTAGCCATTAAAGTAGTACTCAGTCATGTCACATTGCTTGCCAGAACGTTCATTCTTTCCCTTCATTTATCTTTATAGTTTTTTGAAACAAGTGCTTTTGTGGTTAATAAACAAAAGTTTGATATTAAGGTAATACTAATAAGGATTTTATTCTGATTTCCAATTTTGCTTAGGCCTCAACCAGTGCTTTTAATGGATTCACACAGGTAAGAAGTTGGTTTTTGTTTTGTTTTTTAATTTTGGAGAAACCATGTCTTGTCAAGATCTAAGAGAGGATCCCTGAAGTTCAGAATTTGGGGGTGATGTGATAAAAGATGAATCATTTGCAGTTTCAGGCTAGACTTCATAGAGCTAGTACAAATCTAAGTTTAATTAGGCTGTTTCTGATATCTATTTGAATATGTTTTTATTAGTAGCATATTTTAAATTAATCTACATAAAACATAGCTTATGTTACAAATATCTAAAATAATGAATTTAAAATGTTTTCTGAAATACAAAACAAGTAAAAAAGCAACACAAACAAACCAAAGTAGAAACTAACATCTGAGAGATAGGACTCTGGGTGACAACCAAATCTCTAGCATATGAAAAATTCCATGAGGGCGGTGCTGTCACTGAGAAAGGCCTGCCACATTGGGATAGCCTGTGGATGCCTAACATGGAGAATCTCCAGTGGAGTTTCAACAGATCTTAAATCATGGTTCTTTAAGTGCCTATGTCCTGAGCCCTTTAGGGCTTTGTAATGCCTTGCCAAATAGCTTTATGGCAATCAATGCAAATGTTTCAGTAGAAGTGTCTTATGTTCATTTATGGTCTTCCTATTACCAGCAGCCTTCTGTGCCACCTGAGATCTCTGGACTATCTTCAAAGGAAACTCAATGTAGTCTATATTGCCAGTAAATTTGCTTTTAGAGTTTTATATGTTCGATCTAATGATCTCCAAAGCAACGTACATGAAAAATCCCTCTACCCCAGCACACACATACTCCAAAATACTGAGCAGCCCTTATTCCTCTGACTGATGCTCCAAGCTAGAGTGTTCTTTCCATCAGTTTTGCAATTCAGAGTAAGTAGACATTGGGATTGTGCATTCTTTCTGGTGGAAAGCGGCTTAGCTGTCCTTGCAGTTGCTCCTTCTCTGGCTAATGCATAGCACGACCAGTCTTCTTTTTGCCATTTATAGCTATAAGTTTTCATGGTGGAAGTTGTCAATGAAGGAAACTATTGGTGGACAGACCTATAAATTCACACCTGTGAAGAGTGCAGTACATACCTGGCATGGAAATAAAGAAGCAGCTGTTGGGAAAACTCAGGGTGAATTACATGATCCATGTAAGATAATCACCATAATGCCTAACCCTATGGAGAGTCAGAGTGAAAGATAAACTGCTGGTCATTCCAGCCTTCTGCCATCCATGGAGGAATCTTCTAATGCTACTCTACACTCAGAATTATGCCACAGTAGCTCCACTGCTGCTGTAAAAACTGCCAGATATAATAAAATAGGAGTAGACATTGTCCAAGCTACACTGAATAACAGACTCAAGAATAGACTACTGTAATGCTTATGCAGGGCTACCTATGGGACCCATACAGAAACTCCAGCAGGTCCAGAATATGGTGGCCAGGTTACTTGGTGGAGCTAATAAATATCAACATGTATCCTCAGTCCTGGCTACCTTACACTGGTTACTTGTCCGTTTCCATGCCGGCTTCAAGGTGATGGTTTTAACCAACAAAGCCTGAAATGATCTGGAACCTCAGTACTTGGCAGAACGCCTTCTCTCAACTAGATCTGCCCATCCTACCCCCTAATATATTAGTAGTGTTATATATATACTACACAGAAGGCTGAGATACCCTGCTGTTGTAGGGGAGGAGAGGGAAGAGCCTCATAACCAGGCAGAGAGGCACCTTTTATGAGTGGTCATGGCAACTAGGTCTTGGATCTTTTATATATATGAGGCTCTTCCCTCTCCTCCCATACAACAGCAGGGTATCTCAGCCTTCTGTGTAGTATTTTTAGAGAACTGGAGGAACTGTCATGAAAAAGAGACAGATCTGTGCACACCTTAACCTTCCTCCATTTCAATACAGTTTTTCTTTTAAGTAACAGCAACTACCTTTGGTCAAGGAAAGTTGCTAGGGTAGACAATGCTTTCTTGTGCAATCAAGCCCCAGGTTCCTACTATCTAAACAGCTTGCTGTCTTCTGTCAGCCACCAACAAAACCTCACTGTATGATCTGTTCTCAGGAAAAAGGCCCAGTTCTTAACACCACAGCCAATCGAAACAGCATCTTTACCTCCTTTATTCTTTGAAACCAACTATTACTTTACCATTTCCCAAATGCACGCGTGTGTATCTGTATTCTGCTGAACCTGTTAAACTTAATCATCCTCTATTTTGCCATAATACTGTCAGCAGCATGTAGCATCTTTCCAACTCTGTTACCTGAAGGTCATGATAAACAAAACTTTGTTAATTCCAACAACATACCTGGCCAAGGAAGGTGTTTTTTGCTATACAAATCAACAATAAATAACATGTGGAATGTTGTTAATAAAGCATAAGGTTGTAAAACCTCGGTACCTGGCAGAAGGCCTACTCTCAGCTAGATCTGCCCATCCTACCCCGTCATCCTAGGCAAGAGAGCTGGGGATGCTGACAAGGGAAGAGTTTAACAAACACATGTCAAAAATAAAAATGTAATCCGAGCATTCATTAAAGGCTGGTCTGAAAATAATCAGAACTTAATGTAACCCACTTTTTCTAATAGAGTATTACCAACAATACTGTAGAAGTATATTAAGGCTGATGAAGTTCATAAAGTAGGGGTTGTTTTTTTTTAAAAATGTAAACAATATTTCAATATTACATAGAGTGTAAGATTTGATGGCAGATCTTTAACATTACAGTAGTCTGTTCCTAAGTCCACTTGAACCTCTAAGACAGTGATTCCCAATCTTTGGCCCCCAGGTGTTCTTGGATTACAACTCCCCGAAATGCTGGCCAGCATAGCTAGTGGTGAAGGCTTATGAGAGTTTTAGTTCAAGAACATCTGAGGACCCAAGGCTGGGAACCACTGCTCTAAGAAATGCTGAAACAAAAAAATTTCAATCCACAATGCCCAAACTGAATTTTAAAAGTCCACTTGATTTGGTGAGAACTGCCAAATGTGATTTCATTTGACTTGCAATAAGCAAGGCAATCAAGCAACCTTCCAAGATTTCATCTGGTGACCAGGAGCAGGCAAATATGACACTAAACAAATAGGCAACATAAAATAGTTGTATCCTTCTTTAGAGAACTTTGAGTATACAGTGGCATATACAATGGCATAAGAATGCAAGAATATGTAATAGACACTTCATTCAATGTGTAATTTGACTTTGGTAAATTTTTACAGCCTTCTCCCTTATTAACATTATGTACTTCCATGTATCTTTTTCATATGTGTATGCTTTCCTAGGATACATCACTATTCTCAATGCAGTCAACACAGAATGTGATAGATAATGTGGTAAGTTGTTTTTTATGTTGTTTGTTAAAAGGGACCTTTTCTGTTAACTTTTGAAAAATTTGGTTCCATTCATTGAATTCTGTGTACCATCCTCTGCCCTGTTCTCTTGGAGCAAGGAAGATGAGGAGCATGGACATACATAATGCATAGATTGGGGAAAAGAATGGTCAGGTCTCATACCAATGGAAGAAACAGTTTGCAGGACTGTGTACAGCATAGATTGGGAAACAGGGGTAAATTAGCCCAAATGGGGCAAAAGTCAAAATCCTGGGGTAATGAGCAGAGTGCTACGCCCTCCCTCCCACTCCCACTCTCTGCAGCCAAACCTCAAATTGTAAGCCATCTCTCCCTGTTACTTCCTTGGTTGCAGCAGGGCACTTGTAAATCCTCCGTTAGATCGGAGATAAGCCTCCTTGATTGGTTGCAGCTGTGTATTAGCAATCAATCAATCAATCCAGAGCTTCTGAATGACTGCTTCCTCCGGAAATGACTGCAAAGAAGCAGCAGGAGGGAAAGGATCAAGGAGCAAGCAAGGGAAGGAGGGAAGAAAGGTGCAAGAGACCGAGGACTTCATCAAGCTTATTTAAATGTATGTAGAAAATGGAGGGAGGAAATGGAGGAAGGGAGGGTGGATGGATGGATGGATGTGTGTGTGTGTGTGAGGGAGAGCGAGAGAGTGAGTGAGAGAGACTGACTCAAAACAATGAAAAAGAAAAGGCAGGAACAAGAGAAACCTTGAATTAAGGCGGGGGGAAGGGTGGCTTTTTAAGGTGCTGTCTAGGTTTATCATTGCTTTCCTTCTAAGAGGTTCTTTAATTCCTCCTCACTTTCTGCCATGCTTTTGCATAGTCAATGAAGCAGAAATAGATGTTTTTCTGGAACTCTCTGGCTTTCTCCATGATCCAGCGCATGTTAGCATGTCAAATGAGTGCAATTGTACGGTAGTTGGAGCATTCTTTGGCACTGCCCTTATATGGGATTGGGATGTAGACTGATCTTTTCCAGTCCTCTGGCCACAGTTGAGTTTTCCATTGATGATGATAAAAAAGCACACTGGTCCTTTGATATTGGGCTGTGGCACCAGGGTGGGTAACATGGCCTTTAGCCTGGTTTGTTCCTTTTTGCACACCACACATAGAATGATTAAAGTGGTAGAGAAAGCCCCCTCCCCAATTCTGCGTTGGCTGTCTCTAGCAAGCATGTCATTGCTAGCACCACTGGTAGCCACTGATGATGATTAAATCCTCTGTGAGCTAGCAAATATTTAATGCAACTTGCTAGGCACGTTGGACACCTTACTACTCCCTATACCACACCATGGCTGGAGTGCAATGTGTTCCAGCAAAAATAGTGCACATCTGTATCAAATTTCGTGCATCCTGCTAGTTCTGTACACAGCCTATGTAGATTCAATAATATTTTTAATTCAAATAATGTATGATTTTCTTCCTTTCGAATCAAGGGGGTAATGTCGGTGTATATAAAAATTTTTGTGTGTGTGGGGGGGTAAAATGTAAAAAAGTTCCCTGACCCCTGGTGTACAGGCACACTGGTGTTCATGTACTAGCTGAGCCAGTCATGTTTCATGCTACTGCAAGTTAATGACAATCAACAAGATGGGTTGTAGATGCTGTTATGAATAAGCTTCACATATATATATATCTGGTAAGTTGCTGAATTTAAGATCCTAAAGTTGTGCATTCAGTTTCACATTTTGTTGACAGCTATTTAAAATTTGTGCTAATTTAATCTTCTAGTGTGTCAAGCCTGTTCTACTATATATGCCATTTGTTTGTGTGACAGCTATCAGGCAAAGTTCTACAGTAAGAGCAGCAGGAGGACAAGGCGCTAGTTACTTGTGTTTTCCCTTGCTGTGCTATGGGAATAGGTGGATAGGGAATGAGGAAGACTTTGCCTCACTGGAACTGGGGCTGGAATCTTTGCTTTCAATGCAGGTTGTAGTATTTCCATAAAAAATCCAAAGCTGGCTGCTTTATGGCCATAGTCAGAGCAGAACAAAAGAGTATGTTACAATGCTTTTCCACTCATCCACAGTTCTGAGAGGTTTTAAAATTCCTACTTCTATTTAAGACATGGATGCACTGGAGCCTATCATTGGCCTCTGAGTGCACTAGCTCCTCCCTCATGCATCCCAGGTTCAGGGAAAGGTGGGTCCTGAAGATCATTCTAGGTAGTCCGAAATTTTAGTTGAAAGAATTCATTCCAATCTCTGCCAGAATTCACTGGCATAGAACTGCACAGGTTTGCCTATTTATGGACAATCGTTTTACACATCTTTCTCTATTTAGCTTATGCAGAGATAGAACATGTATTTTGTGAGTGAACAATTTCCAGAGATCTGGTGGTTGTACATCTTCTCCCTCCAAAGTTACTTTTTGTTCTTCTTTGTGGCCTCTGTGATTCACACCCTGGGTGATTTGCGCCTCTGCGGAGCCTCATCGGAAGATTCTAGAGCGTCTGCGGTAGCAATGAACACATTATAATATGCCCCTCCCCACCCATATAAGTACCTTGGTGCCAAGTGTCCCCTTTCAGTTTCTTTCAACCACCGCGTTGAGAGCTTCATAATTCTAATTCTGTGAGTGAAAGAGAAAGAAAGTGTATTCTTGATTCCTTCCTGTTATCAATCTTTTTTAAAAAAAATACTATTAGATTAAACTCATTATCATCAGAGATTTTTTTTTCCTTTCCCCTCGCTTGGCCTCCAGCCGCAGCATCCCCCCTTTAATCATTTTTTCTCTATTATTTCTCCTATTCATGGCCCATTTGGGCCCATTTACTTTAAGCACTGCGTTGTCTGTGATAATAAGATCGCACTTTCCAACGGACATGCTAAGTGCCTTTTCTGTTTGGGAGAACAACATTAAACTTCCTCCTGTACCCATTGCAAAAATTTTAAGCGGGAAGTTCTTCGATCTCGTCTCTCGAGCCTAAAACTCCAAGTTTGGGAGCAATCCTTACAGCCAGTTCAAATAGCCCAACCTCCCTGTAGGGCCACTTCCCAAACCAAAGTGATGGAAAAAGCCGTTACTGAATCATCAAAACAATGTCCATCAGCTACACCAGCTCTTTCCGATTCTCCGTCTGCATCGTTTAAGATCTCGAAGACACACAAATCGAAATCCTCGATACCAAAGTCCTCTACTTCGAAAACAACTTCTAAACATCAGAGACCTACTGGAGCAGTTCCAGCTCCATAGTCAGCTCCTCCTAAACGTTCCTCCTAAATGAGATAAACAGTCTAAGCCTACAGACATCCCACCACAACCACAGCTCTCTGAATCAATTTCAGTCGGATCTCCCTAGGATGATGACAGACTTCTTAGTCCCCAGAATGGGATGATAGAGTCGACCAACTAACATCCTCTCCTCCCAGTCCACAACCTTCCATTTCTTTCAGCAATCCTTCGGTTATTCCATCGCCTGAGGATTCCCATCCCAAACAGTTTGACACCGTTCCATATTTGATGCCTTCAGATCACCCAGCGATCCCTAACCAGAACTGTCAACATCAACAAACTTGACAGCTCGCTTCATTGTGTGTGGTTCAGACCCACACTCAACATGCACATTGGGTTGCCATTTGCCCCGACCAGTGCTCTACTTGACAAACGGATCAACTAGTCGACCAGGTGTTTTACCTGGTTCAATAATACCATCTAGTAGTCGGCCTACTTCTCGACAACCTTCGGTGTCGAAGCAGCCACATCATCAAGAGGTACCTATACCTCAACCTGCTCCCCACTTGGTATCCAGAAAATCTCAAACCGTCGAGCAGATTTCATCCACACATGAGGCTTTTGCATGCCCAGCCTCCCGATACTTTCCTACTAAAATAGATGACAGAAATCACTCTTCATGCTTGACATCAGCAGTGTCCATTTATTCTACTGCTATGCCATCGCATCAGCAACCTCCATTTCGACATCACAGAGACACAAGCTCTGATATTGACGATCCTCAATATCCATCCTGGTCCATGGAGACATGCTCGATTCCATTACATCAACACAGTTCCCGTCCTCCAGTAAATCCAAGGCACTGCTACAATGCTGAGCTCGACACCAAGGTCTATCCCTACCAATCGAGGTCCATCGAAGCTCAACCACCATCTTTTGATGCCGTTTCCATCTTTTTAGACTCTTAACTGGCAATACTACAAAACTCAGCCTCTCAACACTGAAGTCTGCAGTCCATCGACTCCAGATGCGACCTCGATGGCTCTGACCATGGATCTCGACTGCAAACTCCATCGGCATTACTTACCTCTCCATTGTTGATACCAACCCACCATCACTGGCAGAGGATTTCCAGACCTATGCCCAATTTATGATTCACATGGCTAAATCCCTTGATCTGGAAATCCACCGACAATCGACAGAACCAGCCAATCATCTGTATGATCCGATCTCTAAAAATACAACCACTCCAGTACACATATTGATGTTGCCATCTCTCCTTAGTACTGTGCAGAGATCCTGGACAAAACCATCTTCTTCCCATACTGTGTCCAAGCAAATTGATAACCTCTATAGAATCCATGACCCAGGAGCCATTTTCCTCCAAAAACAATCAGCTCCAAATTCTATATTTGTCAGAGCATCTCAATTGAGAGCTTGACACTGACAATCTCTCATACGACCAAATAAGGACAGCCAACGAATAGACTCCATGGGTAGATGGCTTTACTCTTCTGCAGCCTTCACCATGCAAGTCGCTAATTATCAAGGCGCTATGGGAGCTTACAAATGCTTTCTCTGGGACAAACGTGTCCACCTTTATTGAATCCCTGCCAGAGGGTAAAAAGATACTAGCAGAAACCTTCCAAGAAGAAGGTTTCTTAAACAACTACATTGTCACCACAAAATTCTGCATGGTTACTCTAGAATCATTTCTTCCTTTACTTCGAAAAAACAACTGGTTCAACATCATAGACCTAAGAGATGCTTACTTTCATATTGCAATACATCCCGCACACAGAAAATTCCTTCATTTCCAACTTGGATCACAAGCATACCAATTCAAAAGACTTCCATTCAGCCTTGCAACAGCTCCAAGATTGTTCACCAGGTGCATGGCGCCGGTAGCCGCCTACCTCAGACTTCAAAACATTCTTGTCTTTCCATATATCAACGACTGGCTCCTTGTAGCACACTCCCATCACAAAGCTCGATGAAATACCCGTTTCACGCTCACCCTTCTTTGCGATCTCAGTCTATCAATGAACAAAAATCCACATTAAAATCTACGACAATACATTACATAGGCGCGCTCATAGACTCCACACGAGCTCACACGTTCCTCCCTGCAGAAAAGAAACAAAATCTCTTCACCTTACTTCACAGCTTCACTCCACATGCCTTGATACCTGCCTTAATGGTGCAATGCGTTCTAGGCACCATGGCCTCTATGATGTCAGTTGTACAACATTAGATCTCTCCAGTCCTGGTTTCTGGCCCTATTTGATCCACTAACAGATTCTCCCCACACTCTCCTAAGAGTCACTCCAGAATTGGCCTCTCACCTTCAATGGTGGCATTCCCATGCCAACTTTCTATCGGGCAACTGTTCCAACAACCTCGCCCACAAATACAAGTCACTACTGAAATACAAGTCACTACTGACGCCAGTCACACCAGCTTGGGGGTTCATTGCAAATCCCTCACAGTCCACGCCAAATGGTCTCACAGAGAAAAACTGCTCCATATAAACGAGTTGGAGCTACTAGCCATCATAAAGGCCTGGAAGGCTTTCAGAAAACTTCTTGTAGGAAAAATGGTACAGATTGCCACCGACAACACTACGACAATGTACTATATCCTAAAACAAGGCGGCACCCACTCTTCAGGTCTCCTCTACCTAGCGGTCAACCTCTGGGAGTGATGTCTGCAACATCACACCTGTCTCACAGCCTTACACATTGCTGGTTAAGACAACGACCAAGCAGACTCACTCAGCCAGCCGTACAAATGCCCAAGCTCATGAGTGGGAACTAGATCAATCAGTATTCCGCCAACTATGTCAGAAATGGGGCACACCGACTCAATCTTTTTGCCTCCCGAGCAAATCGGAAATGCCAACTATATTGCTCCTGAGCAGAAACAGGAAAACATTCCCAGGGAGACGCGTTTGTTGGCCATTGGCCCAAGACTGTTACCTACCTTTTTCCGCTGTTCCCTCTCTTCCACATAGTTGTTGTCCGTCTATAACAAGACAAAACCAATGCCATTGTTATAGCCCCTTGGTGGCCGAGACAGACTTGGTTCCCAGTTCTTCACAGTCTCTCATCAGACATCCACCATCTCCCCCGCCTGCCACACCTTCTCACACAGAACAACTCCCAAGTCCTACACCCAGACTTACCTATTCTGCACCTGGCAGCGTGGAGGATTCTCCCTCATTGATGAACGTTCTTCGTCATGCCAAAAAAACATCCACAAGGAAAGCCTACCTGTACAAATGGAAGAAATTTCAGTCCTTTACCAAATCTTCCTCATCATCCTCCATCAATCCATCACTTTCCACTGTTCTCCGCTTCCTCCTACATCTCAAATCCAAAGGCCTCTCCATCTCATCCTTGAGAGTCTAACTTTCAGCAATAATATACCAACCTCCAAATTCTCCAGCAGCAAACTTCTTCAAACATCCAACAATGAAACATTTTCTGAAAGGTCTCTTTCATATCTAACCTGATACTCGACCTCCCTCTCCACAATGGTCACTAACTCTCGTCTTCAAACAGCTTACCGAAGCTCCTTTTGAGCCACTAACTACAACTGACTTTAGACTCCTCACCTTTAAAACAGCTTTTCTCATAGCCATCACCTCAGCTCAACGAGCTAGTGAATTGGGAGCTTTACGCTATGACTACCCTTATCTACAATGTTTTTCCTGATAAGGTGAAGTTATTCATGGACATTTCTTTCCTCCTCAAAATTGTCTGTCAATTTAATCTTTCCCAGCCGATTGTCCTTCCTTCATTTTTTCCGTCACCTTCTTCAAACCAAGAAAAAAAATACTCCATACTTGTATGTTGTATGTCAGAAGAACTCTTTCTTTTATCTCCAATGTACCCAATCTTTTAGACAGTTCTCGTCTCTTCATAAGCCATCAGCTACCTACAAAAGGCCATCAGGCCATCCCAAGCTCCCTCTAGATGGGTCGCCTCTACCATTCATTTGGCTTATCAACTTGCTCGACAACCAGTCCTTAGAGTGGTTCGCCCTCACTCCACCAGGGCAGTGGCAGCCTCTACAGCCTTTCTCCACAGCGTACCGCTTCCAGATGTCTGTGTCTCTGCCACTTGGGCACAGCCGTCCACGTTTATCCATCATTATAGACTTGACCTCCGACAGAAGTCTGATGCAGCATTTGGATGTGCTGTTCTATGCTCTAACTTGGTGTGACACCCTGCCTCTAGGTAAGACAGCGTATTAGTCACCCAGGGTGTGATTCACAGAGGCCATGAAGAGGTTACCCACTTGTAATTGTAGTTCTTTGAGTGGACCTCTCTGATTCGCACATCCTGCCTGTCCTCCCCTGTCACGCCATTGTTTGCTTACTATTAAGCAGCGCTTGACACAACTGAAAGGGGATGCTTGGCACTAAGGTACTTATATGGCTGGGGAGGGGCATTTTCTAATGTGTTCATTGGTACAGCAGAAGCTCTAGAATCTTCCAATGAGGCTCTGCGCAGGCGCAATTCACCAGGGTGTGGATCACAGAGGTCCACTCGAAGAACTACAATTGCAGGTGGGTAACCTGTCATTTTGAAACAGTCCCCTATCCTCATGGGCTAAAGGAACTTAGGTGGTAATTTTTTTTAATAAAAATTAATATATATTTTTTTTTAAATTAGAGTTGGGGGATAGAAGGGCTCCAACAGCCCTTGGAGGCCACACTTTGCTCATCTCTGCTGTACCTTCTTGTAGAGGAAGTATGAATCATCTGTCTCTGGAAGACACACACACACACCAGAAGTACATATACGGCAAAGGAAGCATAAATTACTCTTTCTTCTTCTTTCTTATAACTCTTTGGGGCACTTTCTGTTAATAGAGAATTCTTATATTGGCCTAGTCCTGGTCTCACAATTTCCACTGTCCTTCAATGGATTTATTTTGTTTACTTCTCCCTCCAATAATTAAAAACCAAAAAAAAAAAAAAAAAAGGCTGAGGCAGAAGCTCCGTCTTTAGAACTACACGCGGAGGAAGCCCCAAGTGAACCCGCTGCGGCGGCTGCGGCTGCTATTACTGAGCCAGAAGCACAGCCTGTAGAGGCAGCTGATGAGCCAGCATCTGAAGCAGTGGTGAGTGACTTGTGCTCACACTTTTGACATTGCTATACACGTCACATTTCATCCATTTTGTTCATTTTTATCTTCATGGGGTTTTAGAACTAGGGCGTACAAATGTCCTGTCTTAGCAAAGCAGCCACCTCTGCAGGGACCATACATGGGGCAGTAAGAGTATTGGGCATGGCTGCTAAATTCCATCCCCATCCTAAACATGAGTTGTCCATGGGATTATGACTCTGACTTTTAATATGGAGAGAACACACTTCTGGCTGAGAGTGATGTGATTATTAATAGCTTCATGTTGAAAAGGTGACCCATTGGGGATCTGTTGGACACAATGTAGTTGTATTTTTACTGTAAAGAAAATACAGTGGTGCCTTGAATAGCGATGTTAATGCTTTCCGCAAAAAACATCGCTATTGGATTTCATCGCTATTAGAAATGCGGTTTCCCATTGAAATGCATTGAAAGCCGGCTAATCCGTTCCAATTGAAATGAATTGCCGTCGCTAATGGAAAATCTCCATAGGAAACATCGCTATTCAAAACACGGTTCCCCCATTGAAATGCATTGAAACCTATTCAATGCATCTCAGTGGGGGAGTTTTTTTATCTAAAGGAGGGAAACTGAGAAGGGGGAAGAGCTGGTGGTGCCGGGGAAGCTGCAACAGCTGTTGCTTGGAAGGGGGTCATGGCTGATCACTCCCGAAAAGCAGGATCTGGCCCGAAGAGGCAGCCGGGCTGGGTGCGTCGCTGGTTTGCCTTCCGCCGCCCAGCCAAGGCACCTCCCAGCCTCTTATTCCCCAGCCGAGCTCGATGATTTGGGTCCGTGCTTCACTGGCCGAGTGCAATTGGCACTTATCTGGAGGCGGGAAAGGGCCAGGGGCGCCCATACACCAAGTGGGGTGGGGGAGAGCGGCGGCGATGCGCCGAGCAGGGGCTGGCTAGTCTTGCTGCCAGCCAAACACGATCGGCGCTTATCTGGAGGCAGGGAAGGGTGCGGACTGT